CCTTTCTTCCCAGGTTTTACCCCCTTAAAGTTAGGTAAGGTCATATGACTGGTTTAAGCCGATGAACTTTAGAAGCACTGGTCAGACTTGGTTTGTATATGCTGACGTATGTGTCCACATGACTTCTGGACCAAAGGATGAAAGAGCTAATGTGTGTGACTGTTACCTCCATACTGAAATGAAGGAACCAGGAGGACAAAGTATTATAGTCTAAGTATGAAAATTATAGACCACTATGCATATAAGGTCAAATTAGAGTCATTTATTAGCTGGTGACAAATAGAATCCCTTGCCCCAAAGAACTCATGATGCTGAAGCTCATGGGTACAGTGTTTATAAAGGCAAAAACCGCAATGACATCCTTATCATGTATAAGTCAGGGAACCTTGTAACATTTGTTTGGGTTATACATCAAGAATTTATTTTGGTTACACACCTGGGTCATGGTCAGGGTCATGGAAAGTCCTAAATGTGTTATCAAGGTAGACATGACTATTCAGGGTGTTGGGGACTGAAAGGTGTGGCAGACATTCTGAGTAGACATTGAATAGAATCAGGGTAAGATCTGCGCAAGATGGTTTTACTTCAGTCATTCTCAATGCAACCTGATCTCTGAATCACTAGCCTGAGAAGAGTTAGTGACTGAGAGAGAGAAGATGGCCAGCAGCTGATTTTACAGAGATGAGACACCTGTGCTGACTGGGTCAAGCCACTGGAATTTTAGAGTTGTCATAGCAAACATAACCTATCTTTCCTGCACTAAGATACACACTTTGACAAAATATTCTTTTATATTTACTACTTTGTCCTACCAGTTAGAAGACCCATCTTGAACCTGGGTGTGGTAACAGACATATTTAATCCCAGCACTTGGGAGGCAGAAGCAGGAGAATCTCTGTCAGTTGGAGGCCAACCTGGTCTACGAAGTGAGTTCCAGGACAGCTAGGGCTACACAGCAAAACCCTGTCTTAAAACAAAACAGACAAACAAAGACCCATTTTAAAAATCCCAAACAGTGCAAACCAATCACATAGTGTCACCCAGGAATTGAATCTCAGTGAGTCATGACTGATTTCCAACTTTTCTAGTTTAATATTAATGAGAATAAATATGTTTATCTGCTGTGGAGCCCAGAGATGAGTGATGGGGGTGAGATGGTAGCATTTTTTTGGGGGAATCAACCAGATGAGGTTTAGCCAAGGGACTGCTACTAACTCTGGCCTACTTCGCTTCATTACTGAACTTGACCACACATGTAGATCTGGGTTCTTTGGTGATTCCTCCAGGGGCTGGGACCTCATCTCTTGCATGTCTCTGCTCTCCTCAGCTCAGTACCAGGCCTGAGAGTTATCCAATAGCACTTGTTGAACAAAGTTGAGAAAGCTTCCTTTGGCAGCTGACACATCAATAGCTACTACCTCTACCCTGCCCTGTCCCACCTCACCATGTGCCTTTGGCCTGGGGCCTGACAAACAAGACCCAAGGGGACAGGGATTTCTAAGAAAAGCTGACTTCTCCAGCAGCAGGGACTTGCCAGCCGGTAGAATGTCATGCGAGACAGATTGCAGACGCTTCACCTCCATGGCCATCAGAATCAGAAATGCTTGCCTGCCAATCAGCATTACAGTGAGGAGCTGTGACATGACAGTTGTCTGACTTGTGCTAATATGTTCTAATCTTGCAAACTAATTTTCTTCCCCCACTTGGCCATCCCAGCATTGTGTTTGGCCTGCCAGGGCGGGTGCCATCCATCAATCTTAGTTAGTGGCCCGCTCCATCTATCTTACAGCTGAGAATATCTGTGGTCCCTGTGATATGCCTCAAACCCCCTCTACAAAGCTTCCTTTGCAATCAGCCCTGTGAGAATGCGTTCATTTGGTTTCAAATAAAGATGCATGGCCTTGACTATGAGAGGTGACAAGATGGCCATTGTTGTCTGGTAATGTTTTCAGAATGACTTTTCTAGGAGACAGGGCAGACCGGTGGCATAAGGACATTACTGTGGTCCTAGTTACTTAGGAATCAGTGATACATGTTACATTTGTTGGAATCAATCTTGCTGACCTCTCTTTAGGCTTGCCTTTCCCATGTGGATGGCGTGGGGGAAGGAGTATCCTGACTGAATGCTTCCCAAGTTACTTCTTGTCTGTGAAATTTGACTGGTTCAGTCTATCCTCGCCAACTGTTGAATCCCTAATAGCAATTATTAGTCTCTCTGTAAGCCACTGTCTTAACACTTTGGGGGGACATGGGCTTAGAAACCCATGATGTTTGATAAAAGCTGAAAATAATGTCTTCATAGAAAGAAATGCACTCACAGAATTTATACTCAATTATGTTTAATTTGTAAGCCCTAATGCCCACCTATGCTCTGGGATGGAAAACTCATTTTCACTTGTATTCTGGTTTTATTTTTTACACAGGTATTTACTCCACTTTTTTTTTTTTGGTTTTTACGAGACAGGGTTTCTCTGTATTGTTTTGGAGGCTATCGGTCCAGCCCAGCCTCAAACTCACAGAGATCCGCCTGCCTCTGCCTCCCGAGTGCTGGGATTAAAGGCGTGCGCCACCACCGCCCGGCTTACTCCACTTTTAAACTTGTAAGCCATCTTAAATACAGTTGATTTTACATTTACTTAAACTTTTTTGTCTTTGAAATAATTCAAAACTTGGAAAGATATGAAGAAAACTCCAATGGTTATGGAGAGCAACATACCCTGCAGCTAGATGTCACTGTCCACTGCAGAGTCTTCTCCCCTTCCTTCTCCTTCCTTTTTCATCTCTCCTGGACTCCTCTTGTTTCTTCCCTTCCTCCTCCCTCTCTCCTTCCTTCCATCCTTCCTTCTTTCCTTTCTTCCTTCCTTCCCTCCCTCCTTCCTTTACCTTTTCCTCTTTCTGAAACATTTAAAGATAAGTTGCAGGGATCATTTAAGTACGGGTGGGGTGTGATTTAGCATAGCTAACTGTTTTTGCAGAGTTCTCAGGGGGAAGGTTTCAATGCCTTTTAAGACTAGCCTGTCTTCAGACAAAGTCTTTCCTAGTTCCTTTGTCATAGAATGAAGACATTATGTGTGGGTGGCTGAATACCTTCTCTACAGGAGGCTGGATCCCTGGAGTTGCATGGACCCTAAACTTTTTTATCCCCAGAGGAGGGTGGGACAAGAACACACATAATTGCAATAGAAAGCTGACAAGGCTGGGCTGCATTATGGAGAGAGATGAGGTGCAGCAGTGAGGTAGAGGACAGACAACACATGTCCACTAAAGGTAAGGGCCTAAGGAAGAGTCGTCAGAAGGTACCGGGAAGAGTCACATTTACCCAATCCTTTGAAGAAGGGCACTTTGGGTGTCAGTGACAGTGTAACTGACTGGCATGAGCTGGCTTCAGCGGGTAAGTATAGCAATAGAAGATCAGATCTCCTTTGGACTTGCTTGTACATACCAAGCGTCTCTCTGACAGCTTGTCCCTAAACCACTCTATCCCAGTAGCTCCTTAAGCCCCTTGGGGGTCTCCCTTGGAGGATTTGGCTTTGTGTGTCTCTTGGGGCTGTTCTTTCCTTCAAAGGTGAGAATGGAAGGTTCTGTTTGCTCACATGACATTTGAAGAAAGACTTGGGGGTGTATGCCACATATCCTGGCTCCCCTTCTCATTCTGTCATTCAAGTAGTTTGACTGGCTCTCCTTAGCCAGGTACTTCCACCAGTTTTGAGAGCAAAACAGCACCTGTGATTTTCTGGTGAACCACAAGAGGGCGAAGTGTGAACACAAATGAAAAAGAAAATTAAAAAAAAAAGAATCGCTGGCAGAACCCAGCTGGCAAGTGAGCATCTTTTCCAAGGCTTCGTTCCTGCTGCCAGGCTAGCAGTTTCAATCTGTTATGCATCCCTGTCTCTCTTTTCTCTGTCACTGTTCTTTCCCTGCTCCTCTCTCACTCCGGCTCTCACTGTCCCTCTGGAATTTCTCTGGGTAAAAAGATGCAAATTTGTTTTGCTGCCTCAGAACCAAAAATTAATGAACAATTCCTAGATGGGGTGATAGAGGAGCAAGATCTGAGGGGTTTTCTTTCTAATCTTACTATCAGCCAATATGGATTTTTTTAGAAGCTCTGTTCTTTTTTTCATAAAAACAGCAGATAAGCCCTCCTCATCCTGGACTGGTGAGTGTTTAACACTCGTGAACCCCCTTGCTTCACCTTGCTGGCCACTGAGGTGGGGATGGCTGATCAACATTACCATTTTACAGAAGAGTTAGCCTGGACACAGAGCTGTCCACAGGTTTGGCCAGCATCACATGGATAGTGTCAGAGCTGGCTTTGAATGGCTCTCCAATTAGAACCACTCTGCCATTTAAGCTCCTCTGCTGTCACTGAATCTTATCAATGAATGCAAAATGTTTAAAGCCAGGGAAGGCATGGTCCTGACACAGGCCCTAGTGAGCAACTCAGATCAGAAATGGCTTGGCTTACTGGCGGGAGCTGGTTTCAAGTGTTGAGACTGGGAGCTTCTGTGTGGACATGCTGAGGAGTAGAAACCAGTGACAGGAAGATCAGTGTACTCCAGGAAGGGAGTTCAAGTGGGCAAGACCACCCAGAGCAGTGACCAGGCCAACTTCTGTCAAATACTTGCAGGATTTGGGACTTTTGCCTCTGGGGACCTAGTGGCTTTCTTTCTGAGATCCTGCCTGTTTGGACTTATTTGGGCACATACTTTCTGGTCAGGCCATGATATTAGAAGGTGACTGACCCATGGTTATTTTTATTTGTGTTCTCTCTGCTTCTCTCCGGGCTGTCTAGGGAAAGGCTCCATTCCCTAGGCTATGGGAACTGCCCCTGTGTATCAGTGATAGAAAGCATTTCAATTAGTTCCTCATGTGTCATTGCACATCAGGGCAGGGCTGACATTTACATAGAGTTAACACTATATTATCAGGAACACAAAGCATATCAGGTATAGGGAACTTAGAAATCAAAGTACAGAGAAGACATTCTCACAGCATCTCACCATCCCGAGAAAGCCAGTGTTCAATTTCTTCTTTCTTTCTGATCCCTATTTTCCCATTCTGCTCATCCTTGTTCACACTTTCCTTAATGGTCATCGTAGGGGATCCTTCCTGGAAGTTCTATAAAGAAAAACATGTCACAGTCCATTGTGACATACAAGACAGAGCAAATATTTCAAGGATTACCATACAGAGGGACTGTGATGTAACTTCTCCTGGACATCCGCTACAGGGTGGGCATTGCTTGGGAGGAGAACACACTGTGTAGCATTCAAATTTCATGATGCCATAGGAAAGGAAAGAGAAGGGATGAGGACTCTGCCTGTGGGCTGAACTGAACACTGTTCTTGTATATTTCTTTGTTGAAGAAAGAGCTGAATGTCTACAGTGATGGGGTGTAGTGGTCAGCACGGGGGGGGCTTTCAGAGAGAACCATCTCAATGGAATGGCTGAGAGTGGTCAGCAAAGGAAAGAATGGAGAAATTGGTCTAGCCTTAGGCAAAGGTAGGGGATGTCAAGAAAAATGAGTTAAGGTGAGTCTTAAATCTAAAGGGCAAACTAGAGTTGAGTGACAGAAAATGGTGAAAACGCATGCAGAAGTATTCACCCGTAGAATGCCTGACATACTATTCATGGATAAAAGACCAGAATGCAAAGACAGAATTGGGGAAGGGTGATATATAAAGTCAGGGCCATGGAAGAAAATGAAGCATTGTGTATGTGTGGCAACATGGACGATTATCACACACTTAACCTTGCGGACAGTAGCACTTTGGGTCTGCTTCACTTATTTTAGGTTCAAGAACAGGAAAACTAACCTGTGGTGATGGAAGTCAGGACAGTGCTTATCTCTCTGATGTGAAGGATGAGAGGGCCTTATGGGTACTCAAAAATGTGTGTCTGCATACAGTAACTAGGCAAATGTATTATATAAGGTGTCAGCAAATTACACACTTAGATGAGGACATATAAAATTCTATACTGGATGCACGATCTGACTCAATGAAGAAATACACCATTACATAGAATGTAACTCAAGATGATGTCTGTGGGCTGATGCTGACCTATCATCTGTAAGCAGTGGATAAGTAGCTTCCTCCAGAATACTCATCAATGAGTTTATTCTTCAATATGAAGTCTTACTACAACATGCCAGTTGAATTAATCATGTGCTTAGTATCATCTTATTGTCCCAGGAGGAAGATGGTGGCAGTTTAGACCCCAGCTTCTTATCCTGTGGGCTATGATCCCATATGGGGGGATTACACATTTGATTGCAGGGGCTACAACTCTTTGGAGACAGTAAAAAGTTTATGAATGTTCAAAGACCAAACATTAATTAAAAAATCAAACCTTGTAATGAATCCAAGGTGCTTCTAACAGTGATTGTCTGTGTAGCATTTTGTGATTTCATAGTAGCCTTGGTTCTGAAAACACAGCATGTGCCCTTTGCATTGAGCTGGCTGTCACACCATCCAACGTCAATGACAGCTGCCCCAAACAACTTGGCTCAGATTTGAGACTAGTGTATTTTATACTTGATGAGCTTTTACTATACATACAAAGGTTTCTAATAAAATCATAATGGTTTAAAAATCAGAAAACAAAAGTATTTTAATATTTCTTCTGCCATTATTCCCCAAGATATAATTGCCAAATTAGTATGTATTGGCATTGCATTATATTAAAATGTTTAAAAATTTGTTTGAATTGCTGACTTGAAAAAATCATCCAGTGAGTTTAGGTTTGGGATTTGGACAGAATTTCTGGCAGTTTTGAATGGCACTCGATATATTTCTACCATTTTGAAGCATTTGAACATTATTGTGAAGAGGTGTTCTTAGCATTGATTATACGATCAAAATATCTAACAGCCTTAAAATCACTAGAGATGATCTACTTTCTGTGGTATCAAATACTCAGCCATGATGTAATCTTTATATAAAATAAACGAAGCACACTTATCTCATTAGGAAACAAATTACTTTCATCTTTAATTGATAATAAAATTATATGTATATCAAGCAATTGTTTTTAAATGAACTTATGATTCATTATTATGAGATGTTTGATTTGTATGTCTATTTTATACTTGCAGTCATATAAGAAACAAACAGGAGCAGGAAGTGTTAAATGTATAAGAAATCCAAGCTTACACTATGTTGGGGAGTGAGAATTGACAGGGAACAAAGGAGAGTCCTTCGAGATCTTGTTTAGCTAAGAAATCAAGCGGACTAGAGAGGTAGCTCAGCGGTTAGAACACTTCCTGCTCTTATATAGGACCTAAGTTTGATTCCCAGCATCCAAGTCGTCTCACAACTGTCCATAACAAGCTCCAGGAGACCTGATGTCCTCTCCTGGACACCATGGGAACCTTCACTCATGTGCATGTACCCACCACAGGCATGCACCTACACACACACACACACGCACACACACACACACACACACACACACACACACACGTACACACACAAAGGCGTGCACAAATGCACTCTTAAAAAAACAAAACACTTTTTCCTCAAGACTGAGAAAGATAACTGCTGTGGTCTTAGTGTTCATCCCTTTTCAAGCAGATCAATGTTAAAATCTGAACATTCAAGGTTATGGCAGGGAGGTGGGGGTGGTGCTGTGTGCTGTGTGTTATCAATCACTAGGAAGTCAGTTACCACTAAGCCTACAGGATTTAAAGGTTGAACCACATTTTGTTTGGTTCTAAGCTCTAGGATGCAATGCCTATTCACTTTAGTTATTTAATCTCTGTGGCTCTTCTGGGGAATAGGGAGTGTTGAGGAGGAGGGAGAGGTGGAGCAGAGGATGAGGTGGGAAAGGTAGGTATGACTCCAGTATAAAAGCTCTTGACATCTTGCTCAAAACCCTGAATTTATATCTGTGATGATGGAGAAATTGTGAGAATTTTTATTTTAAAATTTAAGACCTTAATAACACAAACAGTATACATTTTTAAAGAATTAGGTAATTGAAGTAAATAAACAAAATTTGCTTTAACCCCATCCAATCAGGAAAATAATTTGATGTTTATCTTTTCATAAATTATTCTCTCACTAATTTGACTACTTTTTAAATAATACAAAGTATATACACAGAAATCACTATTTATTCAGATTTTATTTTAGTTTAACAGACAAGACCTTTTATTTTTAATTCTTGTAAACATTCCCTCCCTGTGCCTATTTTAATCCATGGCTGTTCACCCACCTTGTATTAAGGCATTACTGGATCTAGGTGGCTTGTCTTCTCTATTGTAAATGGTGCTATAACAGAGCTCTTCACACATACACACTTGCATATTTTGATTCCTTCTTTTTTTAAATACATATAAATATAGCTGACAGTGTTTTAGAACTTTGGATACTTAAATAAGCAGGAGATATTTTAAGCAGGGAGGCAGCTGTAAGACTTTCTGTGGGAGATCACTCAGGCTGTTCATGTTAGCAGCGGTCAGGGAGGAAGCAGTAAGAGTCTACATGAGGGGCCGGCCGTCTTACGAGGTGGATGTCTGACAGTCAACAGGGTCACTAGAGATTTGATGTGGTGACAGGTCTGCATCCCGTGAATTTTCAAGGGTAATTATTGCAAGGAAGCAACACTCTTACAAAGTGGCAGCAAAGATCTAGCATTAAGTTGTGTCCCCAACCCCCAATTCCTATGTGGAATTCTCCACCCTATATACTATACAGTATGACTATAGTTGGAAAAAGATCTTGAAATCTGACCCAGTGTAGTGCATGTCCTTGTAAGATGGCAGGTCGTACATTGGCAGGGAGAAGAAAAGATACAGATGGCCATTTTGTCAGAGCAGCAATCAAGGCCCTTTAGGGGAAACTTCTAGTCAGGGGAGTCGGATCATTGACCTGGGCGAAAAACTAACATTCCAGTTGTACTGGGTCCATCACCTGGCCAAGGAACCACGCCTAAAGAGGCTGGCACCTTAAGCCATGCTAAATAGATAATAATTATTCCCCTAATGAGATATTAACTTTTTCTTCCCAGAATTTCTTCCTCCCCAGTGAGTCCCTATAGGCTGAGCAGTCATTAGAGTTCAGCTGAGTCTATTTACCTTTTTGAGACAGATGCAACTTTTCCTTCTTTCTGTCTCTTTTGGAATGTGGCCAGAACATGACTATGCTTCTTCTGATACTCTTAGCTTCCTTCCTCTGTCTCCGAACAGCTCTTTCCACTATGTGGCTGTCTGCTGCTGTGTGGCAGACCGTATGCCTGTAACTCAAATGCCATGCATGGCCTTTTCTCATCTCTCCTCCATTCTTCTCCTCTGGAAAGCTGCCAAAATTTACGGCTTGCCTGCCCTGGGATTTGTCCTTTAAAAAATTCTGATAAAATTGTGCTCAAGCTTCCATTTGAGTCAATTCTTAAATTATTTAATTAATGAGACTCAGAACTTCGGAGTAAGGTGGCAGGGAGCTCTGATTTCCCAGGTATCAACTCCCAGTCAAAAGAAGTCAATGCAGCTGTCCCCCCTCAGTCCCTCACTTGTCTTCAGCAACCTGTGTTATTTAACCCATCCGATCCGACCTGCTAGGGGAGCCTGCTTTAGTGACTGCTAGAATATAAGTGGAGAACAAGAAGGAGAGATTATAGGGGTGCTTTTAAAAATGAGTTTTGTATCTTCCTTTTATACTTTCTTCTTAGCCACTAATGAGTTTGTAATATTTCTACAGTAAAAGAGCTCTGTGGCTTAATCAAACTCTGTTTACTAAAGATACAAAAATAGTACAACTAATCAAATCAAAATGGTGCTATCAAAGGAATTCCCATCAATTTTCTAACCATTTACTAGATAACTCTCTCATTTGATTAACAACTTTTTTCTTTTTTTATGAGCAGTTGATCTTTGTAAATTTTCCATGTGTTTTCGAGGTTAAGTGTCTCAGCATATAATTATACCACATTGTGTTTGTGAACCTCTGATAAGTTGCCCTCTATTCTTTGTGGACAATTTCAGCCTGGGGTTTGTTTACCTGTGGTTATTAACATATTTAAATGCAACTGCAGAATTCTGATGCTTAATTTGGAGTTGATGTGTTGAGATGTTTCATCTGGAAATTAATGCAGATGATAAAATAATTTCTATAATTTTTAGGCATTTTGATGGAGTATGTCCAGGAACAGCAGAATGTTACAGGATTTTGTTCATGGAGACTATTGGAAATGTAAATTGGCATGAGTATGGCTGATAAAATATTGTCCAAAATATGAGATGCTTGAAACAGTGGCTACTCTCAGATAAAATTGCTAAGCCCTGAGTGATGGTGACTTTGGGGTAATTAGGACCTGTTAGTACAGGATCCACAAGCTTTTACCATTGCAAGAGAATGTGATTGTCCACAAAGAAACATAGTCTATCCAACAGTTGGGATGCATATATGGACTATCTGAGTTCTTCTGGGAAAACCTGTGTTCTAGGTTGATCTCTAATTGGATCCAGGTAATGGAAATAACATCATCATTAAACTCCTTCTCCCTCAGCCGTGGAATGTTTGTGTAGGTCCAACACTATGAAGAGTCACGTCCTGAGCTCAGGATAGCAGGCTCAGTTCTATTCATAACGTCTACTCTCCAAGCCCCTCATCTTCCAGGTTCTGACCCAGATGCTGGTGACATCACAACAGAGCAGCTAGTTCTGTAAAAAGCCAATAGTATTTCCATCACTTTGATTCCTACTGGTGTTCTATAGAATGAGAGCCAAGTGGTATTTGGTAGAAAAGGTAAATGTTTCCCACCAAATAGACAAGAAACAACTAAGACAGGATGCATGTCTGACCCTTTTTCTAAGAATTGCATAGAAAGCTTTACTGTGAGGGCATTTACAAAATAATAATTTATAGGCGAAATACCCAGAAATATCTGAAAGAATGTACATGGGAAAATTCTGAGACTACAGTGCCTTCCAGTTCTGCTGACCTTGATCCTCTTGGTAACTGTGAGGGTTACAGCTCACCTGATCTTTCACTAGGTGTCCTTAGGTGCCCAGTTAAAACAGCAAATGTTTATTACATAAGCCAGACCTTTTAACTAAGACCCCAAGGGCTTTTGAGTTCTTTCCCTGGTAGAGGAGGTTTTATTGTTTTAGATATTGATTACAGCACATACGTCACTGGCTGGGAATCTTAGGCTAAACAGAGATCTTGAGACTTCATGGAAATAGGATTCAATCAGGTCCCAGAGTACATTGTACAGTTGGTTGGTTTTGAACTTGGGTTTGCAAGGCCAATTTCAGCCCTATTGGTTTTAAGTTCTTGGTAGATGGTGGATTTCCTTTTTGTCTGTCTGTCAGTTGATCGCCTGAAAGATAAATGACCACCTGCTCCCTTGCTACGTGGAAAAGGACTCTCTCTCTTTCCTTATGATTATGTGGTCTACGGTTGCGGAGAGGTAGCTCTGCTTGTGTGAATGTGACATTCATTACCTTTCTCTCCTGTTACCTTTATCTTCAAGCTTAAGTAGTCTTGGACATACACTAACGAGAATGCTTTAGAAAATTCCACATCAGGCCATAGTTGCACTATGTATAACTTGGGGACGTTACTGTTATCTCCTGTTGTGTTTCTCAAGTCTCAACCCGATTCCTATCGCATCACCTCTTTTTGCATTTGAGCACTGTATATTGGTCTATGAAAGACTCTGAGGAAGAAAATATGAGACTTTGAAAAGTTGTAGAATTAACAATCATGGAAATTTGTGTGGATACCAAAGTTGTGTTTCCTTCCGATCAGCTCATGCTTTTGAAGTTGTTTCATTGCATGACTTTGTGTTGAGGATAATAGATAAGGAGCTTAGAAGGCTAAGTCCCTTCCCATAAATGTTCCAGGGACCCCCAGTCAGTGAGCTGAGACAACTTTGTTCCAGGGCAGCACAGTTAAGTTATAGTTCTGTAAGGTGTGTGTTTAGCGGTCTCTGTGGGTCAAAGTATAATACCTTCCTAGGTCACCATTACCCACATGGCCTGTGGGAAGAAAAGCACGTGGAAGAAATGTGGTTCCTTCTCTTGCAGTACTCAGTTCAAGCCATGATGGAAGCAGGTACCCCAACAGATGTACCTGCAACCAAGCCATACTTGTGAAAAGCCGGAAGATTTAGAGCATGGGGCATAAAGGAGGAGGCCATTAGCTTGGGAACAGGATGTTAGAGTCAACTAATGTCAAATGGACATTTCTCAAAAGATGAAATGCAATGGCCAATAAACAGCAGAAAACATGTATTTGCTCTTCTGAGGCTGACTCAGTTCACTAAATATTATTGTCTCCAGTAACATCCCTTTTCCTGCAAACTATATTGCTGCATTCCTCTTTATGTCTGAAAAAAATTCCATTGTACATGTATTCTAACTTCCCTTTTCTGCATGCATTCCTTTGTTGTTGGAAACCTAGGTTGCTTCCATAATCTAGCTACTTGCATAGTATTGCAGTCAACTCTAATGTGCACGTGTGTCTGTGTTCTAGGTTAGCTTGGAGTCCTCTAAGTACTCAGGAGTTACAGAGGAGGCCATGAATAAAAGACGATAATGAGACTCATGGTCTTAATGAGTCCTTGGCACCAGGCAACAAGAGAAGGGAATTTCTGCTGGGGCAGAGAGAGCAGTACAAGCTGTGCCTTTGCCTCAGATAAGAGATGAGATGGAAAAGAAGCTGGAAACAGGGAGTGGAGAATGACAGGAAATAAGGCCTCTTGCCAGAGTGGAAGGAGCTTGGATGCTGATAACACAATCGGACAGCTGTGGCCAGAGGAAGAGGCAGAGCCTGTGGGAGGATTTACCCCTTCCCTTTTAATCCTAGGGGTGATGACTTCTGGATGGAAGTGGATGTCAGGGCTAGTTTCTTCTTTATTTACTTTTTAATTTATATTAGTTCAGTGTGTGTGTGTGTGTTGCATGTTCACATGTATACCCAAGGTATGCATAGACATGCACATGGAGGCCAGAGGAAACCATCACTGTCTTCCTTTATTGTTCTCCACCTTATTGTTTAAAGACAGGCTCTTTCACTGAACCTGAAACTCACCATGTCAGACTGACTAGCTGGCCAGAAAACTCCCAGGGTCTGCCTGCCCTGCCCCACACACTGGAGTTATCGATGTGCATGGTCGGGCCCAGCCTTGTGATGTATGTTCTACGGATTTGAACTTGCAGAGCCGATGAAGGAATAGAGTGGCAAATCTTTGGGTGAACACTAACATCCTTAGCAACCAGTCTTGATCTGTGGATAGCCCGGCCCAAAGGAACCCTTGGAGTCCTGGAGAAGTGGGTGGTGTAAGCTCCATCCCGCAGGCTTCCCTTCTGGTTGCCAGCCTGTTTGGTTTGGCAGAGGCCAGTAACTTAGTCCATCAGGCCAAAATTCCTCTGCCAGACACGAACTTTAATAGTCATCAGAGTCCAATAGCTGGGGAGAGTTTGTAAATTCCCATACTTATTATACACAAGCCACAAGACTGTTTATTGAGGATTTTTTCCAATTAAAGCTGCAGGTGAAACCCTGCCTACTCCATTATCTTACTGAGTGAATTATGTCTCTCACCATCTTTTTTAATGGGCCACAGTCACCCTGGTTTCTTGCCTCAGGAGCAGGGGATTGTTCCGCTGGAATAAAAGTATCCAGCTTGGAAGGAAGCAGCCAGCTGGAGGCCAGGCTGGGCCAGTAATTGGCTGAGATGATACTGGAAGCTCGGCTAACAGGCCCAAAATTGGTCCCTAATCAAGTCCAAGCTGAGAGCTGTTCACTTCCCAGGGCTGCCAATTTCCTTTTCTGAGAGAAAGAGCTTCTGGGAAGGATTCCGGGCTACAAATGACTGGACAATGGCTAAGGGCAGGAACAGAAGCCCTCTTCAGAATCCATTAGGACTTGTCACCTGCTTTATTCTGGAAAAGGTTTGTCTTCACTCCTCTCTGGGTTTCCTGGTGCCAAAGTCTCAGCCAGGCTCTGGAGAACACTGGAGAGGTCTGGGATGCCCATTGGCCAGTCTTTCCTCTTGCATTTCACACACTTCAGAGAACTCACCCCATACATGGACTTCCTGACAACTTGGTGTGGGGATCCAGAAAGCTTTATAATCCTCCATTTTTTTTCAGGTGAAAGAAAATCTCTGTTACATACATTTGTGGGAAATCTGCATCTGGTTGATGAAGAATTGTAAACTCAGAGGAGTCCAGAAACCTATCTGAGACCCACAGCAGCTAGTTCAGTACGGAACTGGGCCTGGACTCCAAGACCCCGGGCTGCTCGGCTGGGCTCTTTGTCTTTGATGCTGTTCTTCCATGGCAATGGGCAGAAGAGTAGATTTCTCACCACATGGTAAAATGGTTCTTGGTCTTGGTTCCAGGCTGTGGGCTACAGTAGAGATATGTGTCTGCGACTCATGGTAGCCTTTAGAAGGGAGTGCAACTGACGGTCATGGCACATGAGTATGGAGAGGAGAAAAGATGTAGACATTGTTGCCTGGCAACTGATCCTGCACTTTTTCAGTTACCTAGGTGATGATGGAATGAAGAGTGTATACATGATAGTGAGAGTGAGTATAAATATCAGGACCCTTACCATGTTGGTACTGCGTGTGTGTGTGTGTGTGTGTGTGTGTGTGTGTGTGTGTGTGTGTGTGTGTGTGTTATGGGCATGGTTTCTCTCTCTTCATGATATTCCTCTTGTGTTTACCTTGGTCCTCACAGAAGCACCAGTTATGCCCCCTCCCCCATGCCAGCAACCACCATCCTTTCCTTTATTCTAGCAGGATATCTTGTATGCACTTTAGCATGTGAGTGTTGGAAGACAGGGCCCACACAAGCATAGGATGGCAGAACACTTGTTGATTTTTCCAGTAAGTTGCTAGAAACCTGGTCTGCAGCTTCATTTTGATTTCTGTCTTAGGCTGACTTACAAGTGTATAGTGTACATCCCTTTCCCATGTGTTGTTCAGTGGTGCCATATTGGAAATGTGAAGTTTTTGAGGCCATGAGAGTACCCCATGGAAAATAGCAAACTCTAAAGCCAGGCATTTGTTACTGTTGTCCAAAACTCTTGTGGTGAGACATTCACTGGAAAATCATTGTTTTCTCTCTACACATACCTACAAAGTGTCAATATTTCACTTTATAAGCAAACAACAGCAACAACAACAACAACAACAAACCCCTGAGACGTCACGAGACTAATTATTTGTCCCAAGGCATCCTTGTAGTAAGGGACAGTGTCACCTTGGGAACAGCAGTCATTTGATCCAAAAGTCATTGCTCTTGCTGACTGCTCTACTCACAGCACAGATGTTCCTGAATTGCATGTATCCAACTTGGGATTCTTTGGGACAAGTCACAAGCCTGTGGTATCTGCAACATTTGAAACATTCTGAAGATTCTCATACTATGTGACCTAAGCGTCACATCTTGTGACGTAAATGAAAATAATTAGTCCCACCTAAAGTTGAAGAAATTGACTTAGTGAGGTTAATGAGCATCCCACGGTCGCAGCAGTAATCAATGGTTAATTTGAAGTTGGCTCCTTTGCTACTTGATGCTTGGTTTAGATTTTCTTCTATTGTACATGCTGCTTTCAGTCTTGGCAAAACAGGTATAAGCCTTACTTACAGTTTACCCAAAATAGAATTTTAATTTTTTCTCTGCTTCTTTAGAAGAATTTTCGAGGCCCATGGAGATAGGCTTGGTCTGTAAAGGGCTTGTCATGCAAATATGAGGCCCTGAGTTTGAAACTTAGAACACATGTTAAAAACAAAGCCAGGCATGGTGATATCCACGAGTATCCAAGCCAGCATGGAGAGAGGTACATTACTGGGGCTCACTGGTCAGCTAGTCTAGCCTACTTTGTGAATGTCAGTCCACTGAGAATGTCTCAAAAAACTAGGTGAACATCTCTTATGAGGGCCAACACCTGAGACTTACTCTGTTCTTCACACTCACATCCGTCAGTACACACACACACACACACACACACACACACACACACACATGAAAATCCACTCACATTTGCACACACACGAAGATCCACTCATGTTTGCACACACACATACACACACACTCACACACACACACATACACAGAGGAATTTGGAATATATGACAATGAAGCAATCTCATAAGAATTTATTAGAAGAACCAAAAGATTTACTCTGGTATCAGTCTATATCCAAGTCAGGTCTCTGCCTCTTTCTGGGTTCTGATCTATAAAATAGGAAGGAAGGCAGGGAAGAGAGAGAGAGAGAGAGAGAGAGAGAGAGAGAGAGAGAGAGAGAGAGAGAGAGAGAGAGAGAGAGAGAGAGAGAGAGAGAGAGAACAAGGAAAGACTAGATGAGACAATACATACATTCAGGGTTTTGATCCCCAGGTTCCCAGCTTCCTTCTAAAATCACTTACATTCCTGGACAGTAGAAATGTTCTCAAATGGATCATTTCACCAAGTAGTGTCATCTCAGAAATATTCAAATTCACCATGCGATTTTCACCAGCCAGAATCAAGATATTTGGGCACATCCTCACTCTTGTCAACAACCTGGGTTGAAATAGAAAGCTTTCTCTCCAGTTCTGAGTAAAATAGGAAAATACGTTAAAGAAAATGGCAAGTGCCAGAGATTTTGGTTAGCTGAGATTGGTTTGGGCCTTAGTGAGCTATGTCTGGATATTAACTGTACAGCAAGTTTAACACAAAATGGGCCCATGAAAAATGCCCAGGAGCAGAAGCAGAGCTAAATTGCAGCTCTTGCTTGGATCCATTATGACACTGGGCATATCACATTGTTGTTCGTAAACTCCACTTTCTTCCTTTACATGGACATGGCTGGAGAGATGGCTCAGTCGTTAAAGGCTAGGCTCACAACCAAAAACATAGAATTAAATTAACTGGGATGACTGGTACAAATGTGCAAAATGGGTGTTTAATACGTATGTGCAATAAGTGTTTCTCTGACAAATAAGCTGTTACAGCTTGTTCTTGAGGAGTCACCTCTACTTTGTTTTTTCGTCAAAATGCCATCCTGCTTGTCTCCTACTTTGCAAGTCTGTTTAGAGAATGAGGCCATTTTATTGCCACCTCCCTGGTGGCATGGTGCCCAGCTGCTTTTTGTAGGCAATGATGTGAAAACAATGTTAATAGTCAGTCATGCCCTAGAGTGGCCATAGTTTATAATTTTCCATGACTTACAAGGCCCAGCCTCAATTACTCTTGATTGAATATATATATATTTTAAAACCACTTCATTAACAGCAGTGCTCAGATTCTGTCTTCTATTTTTAATAGAAATCTACCATTTTTCATTTGATGATTTCTTAGCTAAGTGAGAAAAAGCCACCAAAAATAGTCATGGATAATATGGGTAGGAAAATGTTTCCTAAACTAGTATCAATGACACAAAATAATGATCTTCTGGGATTTCTTTTCTTTTTCTTTTTTTCTTTGTAATTTTCCTTTCTATCTGACCATGGCATCTGTTTATCTTGGTCATTTTGATCATATTCTAAGCCCATGAATTACTTTATTAGCATAAAAAAGTGAGTTCAAGAGTAGGAAAAAAATGTTAAGAGCATTAGTAACTATAAAGGTCTTTACATTGCCCCTGACAGACATGGTTTTAGGACTCAGCCAAAAGGATTGTTGCACTGAACAGGTAGGTATCAGTCTTGAGAAAACAGAAGTGCAGTACAAATTATCCCTGGAGCCTTATCTCTCCACCTTTGTATTTCTGCATTTTCCACCTCTCTCTCACTGAGCAAGGATCTACATAAGCCCCCTCCTATCCTCCCGATGCAGACCTGCTCCCAGGACAGCCTCCGATGAATTTACTCACAGTAACATGTCAAGGACTCATATTGCTTGATTCCTGTTGTTAGGATTTGAATATGAAATGCCTCTAGGGGTAACACTATTTGGGGAAATCATGGAATCTCTAGCCAGAGGGATTGGACCACTTGAGAAGTGGGATTTTGATCTTGGCCCCATTTCTGACATAAGCTCTCTGCTCCTGATCCACCAAGATGTACACAAGCAGCCTCTACTGTAACTATGAACCACTATGAACGCCACCATGCCTTTCCTGCCATGGTGGACAGTGCTGTCTCAAACCATGAGGCCAAATAAACCCGTTCTCCTTAAGTTTTATATTTCTGGTGTTTCATTGCAGTGACAAGAAAATTAACTAATATCATTGGTGAGAATAGTAATGGATTCAGAATGTTGCCTTTTTAGGGAACCAAATCCCATTTCAAGCTCTGTTACAGGAATTTACACCTAAGAAAGGTAGGCAGAGTTGGGACATGGCCTAAAAGTTACTGCATACATTTTTATTGGCTGATTTGAGTAGTCTTGTGACTGGTTAGCTCTCAGTGGACAAACTAAACAAGGTCAACTGCCAGTGTCATCATCCAATGTCACTTGAATGCTTCTGTAAATGATGACATAACACACTCCCAGGCTTTAAGCTATTCAGTTGTCTTACTGATGGTACCTGGTCTTTTTGACACTATTCCTGAGGAAATGTGAACCCAAACATGGATCTGATGGCAGATCAAAGTAAAGATAGCAAAGCTCATGAACCAATGAATTTTATTGGGGCTATCTAAGAGCTGAGGGGTTTCTCACAGGAGAAATGACTCCAAGACAGCCATATCATCAAAGTCCATGCCAGCATGAATCATAGTTCACAAAAGCTGAAACCCTGGAGCTCACTGCACAATGTACAGACAGCTTGGCAGGTTGGAGACTGTCCTTTTCAGGTAGTTCAGGTAGTCTGAGCATCTTTCAGGAGTCTTATTTTGTCTGAGAGTGCCTCTCAGCAATCCTTACTGTCTCTTTATGTTTGGAGAAGAAGGAGCCTAGTATGTCTGGTCAGTTTCAGGGACTTCCTGAAGCCTTTGAGCTGTTTGGCACTCTGCAGAAGCTTCCCTGCAGGAAGGAACACATCACCACCACCTCCCTCTTAGGACATCATGTGACTTAAGGAACTTCTTTCCAAGGTGGAGGTTTATCTTGAAATAAATTGCTGTATGACATCTGGCTACTGCTATAGTTGCCCTGCTTGCCTAGTAGAACTTTAGAAACATAACTATAAAAAGTACTTATCCAGCCATAGGTCTCTTGGACACTAGCCATGAAGACAGGGACCAATGACGCCCTTTCTGTAGGGCTTTGCCATGTAGCAATTTCCAAATAAAACCAAGCCCGGGAAACCAGCAGAGTGAATCCACTTCTTTAACTTCTCAGGCATAGGGATCCTTTTCAGATTCTGCATTCTTCATTCCTGTATCAGCCCCTATTCCAGTGGGCTGAAAACCAGCAACCAGTTGAATCTATAGTTATTCTTGTTAGCAGACTCAGTTGTTATAAGTTCTTGATGGAAACCTGGCAGTGAACTGTGACCAGAGTATGGCTGGCAAATCCTGACTACTCCAACTGAGAGGCTATTTGCTAAGTATGTGACAAAC